CTATTTAGCCATAGTTGGGAAGAGAAGAAAAGGCTTCATACTTTTCCCAAGAGTATTAGCATGTAAGTGAATGCAATGGATTTGACTGGAATTTGAACTTGACTCTCCAATTCCTCAATACAAGCCACAATCCATTGTTCCACCATGCCTTGTACTTACTCTAAATTTTGGACCAAAATAAAAAAAAAGAAAGACATACCCAAGAGACATTAAGAACTTTGTTTTGTTAGTCACTATAAAAATAATAAATGGTCCGTAGTAGAAACCCAAGCTTCTTCTTTAATTGTTTAAATGTGAACATGCACCCTATCTAAAATACAGATAATCTTTTAACTCCTTAACAACATTCTTTGCAGTGTTGGGAGTGCTTGTGCAATGGTTTGTAGTCTGATTCAATTTGAAACTATTTCTCATATACACATGAAATCTTTCACATGCAAACACCGCTGAAAGTAGCTCTCTTTCTATATTTGTCTATAACTCTGAGGTAAGGTATTGTAACTATTTACATTGTTTGAACTGTTGCCCTCATCTTTATTGCCATATTCAGGTTTCAGTCATTCTATGCTCCGGCCTTTTTCAGGTGATATATTTTGGAATTTTGATTATTTTTTTTTAATCCAAGTTTTTGTTCCCTCTGCTGTTGCAAGGTATTGAATTTGGGTAAGTCATTTTTTGAATGTACTTCAACCAACATTTTTATCCCAGTGAGTGAATTTTTGGGACTTATAAATCTAATGTCTCAGTAACAAATTTTTTTACCAGAGTGTGTTCAGTACCTCAAAGCAGAGGAAACAAAAACTTGGGGAGTTGAGTTACTAAAAGAATTAACTGAAACTTATGTATCCTAAAAAGGCATTGCACAAGAAATTAGAACAATCTACCTCCATGGACTAAAGAAACAGTTTGGTTCAAAATTCCAATGAAGTCAACCAGAGAATACAATGGCAAAAATGTTGTGAATATGGCATGATGATGAGGATAACAGTCCAAATGCCGTAAATACTCTCTATGTTTGTATATCTTGATTTGGCATCAGTCAGTCTCACGCTAGTAGATGCCAACAATTTCCCCATAACTGATTAATGTTGCACCTAGGTCCAACATGCTTGAATCTATTTGAATTGTTGTCTTTGCATTAGGTTTAAAGTAAGCTAAGCAGAAGCTTTCAAGCATACAGTCTATCAGTTTTTGAAAAGCTTTATCATGTGTTATTCCAATAATAATCGGTATCTTTCATGATTTCAATGGAGCTGTTTTGGAACTAAATTCTGGTATAAAAGGGCTTAGATATTAGATCCACACCTAGAAATTACTGAAGTACTTGTTGGTTTGTATATGTGGGCCTTGATTTGATTTTGCCACATTTTTCTGAATCAGGGTGAGAGCTATTCTCATCCCAAATAAAATCATAAAATCTTATATTTCTGTCATTGCATTTGTCTTTGTTAAAAACTAAACCATATCTTCTGGCTGTATTCATTGTTTTTCACAAGTTTTTTTATGTTCTTCAATTGTTTTGCCATCTATGCAATAACATCAGATATTTCAATGGCTCCTGCACAACCTTCTAGTATTTGGTTCATTTTATTTGTTGATATATGTCCTGTGACACCTTAAGACCAAAGATACACTTAAAAACCTGAACCTACCAAGATGTAAGTAGACTTGATTCTTCATCAAGGTGTATTACCCAGTATCCATGTTTTGCATCTAGCTTGCAAAATATTTAGCACCAGCTAGTTTATGAAACAATTTCCTTGGTAAGTACTTTTAATGTATTTGTTTAGCTGTTTAGGATTCAAGCAAATGTGTAATTCACCATAGTTCTTCTGCTACAGGTAATTGCATCATTTCAATCACTTTTGTGATCACACCAAGATTTTCCATTTTGTCTAATTCTTTCTCCATTTAATCTTTCATGTGATACTCGATATAAATGAATTCATTTTACTGTTGGAGCGAAAAGAATTACCAAATATTAAGATATTCTCCCAGTTTTAATTTTCAATTTAAAATGATGATATTAAATGAACCTTTATAGGAGGGAATTCATTAAACTGTTGTATGAAAAACAATTACCAATGTTAGAAAATAACATTATGCTATGAAGTAGTGACCTTTGCTCTTGCATAACAGAAAGATTTTATGCCAAAAAGAATGTTTTACAGTTGAAATTCTTTTTCTTTCATTAACATTAGATAAAACAGGATATTAAATTCAAATTTTCAGAGAAGATCAAATGTGAATAAATTCATGAATAGAGAATGTTAAAAAAGAACAATAATTAAAATATTTACATCTAACATTTTTTTGTGGCGAAATAATTTTCTTCATTTCCAGTCTTTTTTAGTTAATAGGTTCACCAAATCACACTCCTTCACTGTCTTTTGAATCAGAGTAGAGTTATTGCCCTTGTTTCTTGTTTAGGATTGGATTTCCAATTCCTTCTCTTAAATTCTTCTCATTCTCTTCAATGTCTTAGTGGTATGATTGCCTTCCTTGTTTGGGAAGAAATGATTAAAAAAAGAATAACATGGAATATATTTCTATGCCTTATAAATTTGCAAAAAATAGTATTAACAGCAAAGTCATTAAAATTGTTATGGTAATTTACCTACGCACACATGGACTCTACCAGCTATAAATAGGAGCAGGTACTGCCTTTTAGAGAGGGAAGTTTCCAGCAGTCAGCTCTGGCAGTCGAACTGAACATTCTTGCTATAACACTCTCGTTTGTATATGTTTTGTATTACTGTTTCTGTTAATATATTTGTTGAACTCAATTCCTCTCTTTGTGTCTTTATTTCTGACCCTAACAAGGCCACAACAAAGATACACTTTTGTTTTCTAGTTCTCTTAAATGCTATGTCAATTTAAGACACAGGCGATAATTACTCTCCACAACTTCTTTTACTTTATTATCTGTGAGTTGTCATGCATTTTTTTGGCAAAGATAGTGGTTTCTCATTGCTTTCTCCATGGTTTAGAATTCAGTTTTCCTTCTCTTAGATTGGTTGGCACCAAAGATTAGAAAACCCAGTCTGATGTTTTGTTTATCTCATAGCTGGGGATGGAAGAAATCTATTTATACCTTTGCCAAGGACATTTCTGTGAAAGTTAATGCAACAGATTGATCTCCAACTTTAAAAGACTTTGCCAATAGATCTTACCACACCAATAACTGTCATGCTTCGGGGATGTAAAACCGGCCCTGAACCCGTTTATACGGGTTCAAATGGGCTATTTTTTGGCCGAGCCTAATGGCTTGGGAATTGCCCACGTTAAAAAGGCCTTGTGCCACATGACACCCTCGTGGGGGTGGGGGTGACTGAATATCGTCATGCTACCTGCACATTCATTTATTTTCTAGCAATTGTTTGAATTACGTAGCATCAGTGCAAGCATAAAGCATATCAGGAATCATTATTATTCAGAAATATAATAATAATAATAAATAAAATTTTACTGCCTGAATGTTAAAAAATTGATCTTATTAACATTTCCTGTAATGAACAAAAAATTGCCAACTCTCAATTGAAGCTTAAAAATTGATTTACCTTCAATTTAAATTCACTTTACTTACAGCCACACCACGTTGAAACACTGGGTCTTGTATGATCACCAAAGTTAAGTAATGTTGAGCCTGGTCAGTCCCTAGATGTTTGAATGCTTCAGAATACCTGGTGTTGTAAGCTTGTATGTGTTTGTGGTGTAATGGATAATGGCTCAGAATTGTTAATCGAAGAGCCGAGTAAGAATTCTTGTTGGATTCGTTATATTCTCTTAAATGCAAATACTCTTGGAAAAGGTCTGAATGCACCTCTTCTCCCCCAGCTATGGGTTAATTAGTAAGACTTGTATCACTAAACCATTATTATCTCCAAAAAAATAAAAAATAAATAAAATAAATATTGTGCATAAAATATTTAGATTTTGGCATTAAATAACACCTAGAGGTTGATATGCTGCTAAAAAAAAAAGAAGCGAATCAAATAGCATCTAAAATGTCAGGCCAGTGTATATTTCTTTCTTTAGTATGAAAAAAAATTTGAACATCTCCACATAAAACAATGGTATTGCATGTTTTAGGATGTTTGCTAAAAATGGAATTGTCTGTATAGTAAATGTGGAGTGATTAGCTATGGTTAAATGTAAAATAAATAATAAAACTTTCCAACGAACAGAATTGATAAAGTTCGCAATAATCAATAACAAGAAAAAGAAAAGAACAGAGCAAAAAATTTAAATTCACTTTTGTGTAAATATTAATGAAATAAGGTGAGCTCATCTGTACATTTGGCTCGGATATTTCCTTATGGATTGTAAATCTGTAGAAACTTGTATAAAATATCAGCTTAAACATTTTAATAAAAGAATCAGTTCAGTAATACAAAACAGCACTTGGAGAGATAAGGACTTTTCTCAAAATTATGATAAAGTTGGGTGGAGGTGAGATTAATACTGAAGTAGGGTGGGGGTGAGATTAATACTGAACTTGGGTGGGGGGTGAGATTAATAAGGTGAGGTGATATTGGGGAAGGGTGAGGTGAGATTAATAATGATAACAAGATTTTAATCTTCATTACTTAACATTTTATTCACTCCAGTATCTTTTTAGTTACTCTCAGACTGTAGTGTGAACCCTGCTCTCATCTCCTGGTTCAACACACAAACCCTACATTCTCTGTCTGTGCTGTGTGAGAGACTGTTCCAAATCGTTTCTGGGGCAGTTATATATATATATATATATATATATATATATATCTGTCAACATTCTTGTTCCCACATTTGCAATACCAAATCCAAGTGTGCAACTGCAATCAGAGTCCTGTACTAACCTCAGGTCAACCTTGCACCTGACTTCCTTTGATAGTCCGGTGTGAAATTTGAGTGTAAAAATCTATTCAAGCATAATAGCACAAAAACTGACAAATTTAATGAATCATTTTCAAATCTGTCATGACTATTCAATTTATTAGACGGTTTATGGTCACATAACATTGAAACACCAGTTCTTGTATGATCACCAAAGTTAAGCAATGTCAAGCCCAGTCAGTACCTAGATGGATGACTTCTTGAGAATGTCAGGTGTTGTAAGCTTGGATGTGCGGGTAGTGTAATGATAATGGCTCAGAATTGTTAATCAGAGAGCCAAGTTCCAGTTTCAGTTGGGTTATATTTATTCAAGTGCAGATATCTTTGGGAAAGGTATGAATCTGCCTCTTCTCCTCCCAGCTATGGGTTAATTAACAAAACTTGTGTTACTAAATCATTATCTTCAAAAAAAATTTCTTACAATCTAAAAAAAATATTTTATGGCTTTAAGTAACCTGCAAAGGGTAGATAAGCCATAGAAAATGACAATTTATTGAAAGCAATACCTTTACATTGAATACCTTCAAACATAACTATGAATAATTTTCATCTAACTCTTCATTGACAAAAGAAAATTTAAATTATACTCACATATATTTTTAATCTTCATAGTGTTTTTGTTTTAATAATATAGGGTGCTGCTTTAGTGTGTGTCCTACTGATCAGTGTATCCAAGACCACATTTGTATCCTACATCATCTAATGTAAGGGGAAAAGTAAAAATAGAAGGAAGGATGTCATTTATTGTTGTATTATAAAATTTAAAATAAAAATTAAAAAAATTTGATTAAAAAATCCTAAAACAAAATATTTGAATCCTTTAAATGAAAACATTGAGTGTCTTTTAATATCTGTCTATATTTCTGAGATGAGGTATTATGTATATTATTTACATTATTCGGACTATTGTCCTCATCTTTGTCGCTATATTTATTACAATGTTTCGGCTGTTGTATGTTCCGGCCTTCTTCAGATGGTTGGAATGTCAAACTGAGCGAAATAAAGGGTTCAGTTCGACATTCCAACCATCTGAAGAAGGCTGTAGAGTACAATGGCCAAAACATTGTAATAAATATGGCAACAAAGATGAGGACAATATTCCGAATAATGTAAATAATGTCTTTTAATATATCAAGAAAAATGTCGGGACAATGCCATAATGATGTCAGATAATAATATGGTGGTAGGATAAAGACTAAAGCAGAAACTGATTGGTAAAATATATTTCAGTCAGTTATATGCCATACGTGATACACAGTTAGGAGATCATGTATCTTTTGATACATGACTGACGAGGCAGATTTTTTCCCGTAGAAGGTTGCCATTTTTTCTGCAGTAGACCAGTTGCCAGAAGGTTGAACCCATTTTTTCATGCTGGGGGAGAAGAAGAGGATTCATACATTTAGACCAGTGAATGCCATCCAAGAACTCAGAACCCAAGTCTGTCCATGTATATTTACCCATAACTGGGGGAGGATACAAACAAAGCAGAAACTGATTGGTAAAATATATTTTCAGTTATATGCCCAATGGATACATATTTTTTCCCGACAGAAGGTTGCCATTTAGCATAGACCAGTTGCCAAGGCTATAGAACCCAGTCTGTCCTGCTATTTACCCATAACTGGGGGGAGAAGAAGAGGATTCATACATTTCCCAAGGGTATTAGCATGTAAGTGAATGTAATGGATTCAACTGAAATTTGAACTCAGCTCTCAAATTCCTCAAATCGAGCCACTATCCATAGTATATTTACAATGCTTTAATAATATATGATACAAATGTGGTGGTAGGATACAAACTAAAGCAGAAACTGATCGGTAGAACACACGGCATTGAATATAGTTTTATTTAGTAAACTGGTCTTAGGTAAATTACTTGAAAACAAAGATTCACAAACCTGAAAAAATGGGTTGCTTTTAAGTGAATATTCAGATGTTTTACTGTTTACATTATTTATATTTGGATTATGGTCTGTGGGGATAAAATAAAAATACAAAATTAAATAAAAGTACAAAATAAAATAAACATTAAAATCTCCCAGGAGTCCTCTGACAGGAAAGACAATTTACGCATGTGCAAAAAAGAGAGAGAGATTTCCTGGCGCCAAAGATAAACTAGAAGAATCTCTCTCTTTCTTGGTTGGACCTTTGACTGGTGAACACGTGCCAACTGTTCGGGAAGGAAATTCCCCAAGAAGAGGTTGTTGGAATCCAAAAGAAGGAAATAAAATCAGTGTACCAAACTGTCCCACTAGTGTCTCCGTATCCTTCCGTCTTTTCTTTGTCTATTTATTTCAGCGACGAAGGCAATTCAATGAGTTTTGGATGTTTAGGTGAAAGAATCAACCCAGCAGTAATAGCCATAACATCTATAGGTCCTCATCTTTGTTATTGTCACAACCTTTCGACCATTGTGCCCTCTGGCCTTCATCAGATGCTTGTCAAACCTGGTAACCTTCAGGGAATCTAAAACTGAATTCCTTATTTAATCTACAAGATTTTTCTTGCCCTACTGAACAGGTCTAAGGATATCTCATCTAGTTTTTATTTAGTACTGCTCAGTCACTGCTTGCATTGTTTCCACTGAGTTTGTACTACATTTTTTTATAATCATTTCACCCACAAGCAAAGTGATAGTGCCACTAAAATGCAAGGGGTTACTGAGAGTGAAAGAGAATGAAAAGCCTTTAGAAAGAACCCAATCCTTAACAGGAAAAAAGGGATAAACCTCTAATCTTGTTCAGCAGATGGGGAAGGAGTGTGAATTAGGCTATAAGTAAACCTCCAAGAAGTGAGCTTACAATTACTCACCAAATTCATGAAATAATGCTTCAATCTACTAGGCTATTGTCCCATGGGACAATCCTGAGTGTAGAACTTGCAGCAGAATGAGAACAATCTAGCCTCTTAGATAAAATATGGTGGTTCAATTTGAAATTCACTGAAGGTTACTCAGATTAACAAGCTCGTGATGAAGACCAGTGGGCACAATAGGGTAGAGTATTCCCCGTTCTGCTGACTATATCGAGGGACATCTCATCTATTTCATATTTAGAACCAATGCATTAATCCACTTGGTTATTATTGTAACTGACCCCCAGTTTCAATGTAAAAGGTTCACACTTCTTATTGATGCTATTCTTTTGACTTTTAAATATTTGGGGCTGTAAATTTACTGTAGTTATCACTCTTACTTCCTGTCAATCTTGTGTATAGAAAATGAGCATGTTTAAGCACATTAAAAAAATCAAAATTCATTTAAAAATATTGGCATGTGATGATTTGTATTAAGATTTTCAATCTTTGATTAGTAAATATAGTTTTCACTAGTTCTAACCTATAAAGGGTTACTGAATAAAGAATAACCAAAATGGAGGTTGGAAATGAAATGGTAATCTTTATAACATCAACAAAATACAATACTCACCAGCAGTGTGAAGTAGTAGTAGTCCACCACTGCTAGTGGTGGACTACTTAGACATCATATTACTCCCACTTACAATAGTGTCCAACATATTTATGAGGATTGGGACATACCCATTAGTGTTCATAGGTATAGCATATAACAACTTAATATCTAAAAGGGACAAATTAAGACAGAATTTTAAAAGATTAAAAAATATCTAAAATTTAATAAATTATTAAAATGGAAAAAAACGAAACCAAATTTTGTAAGAATTCATTATTCATCAAAACATTTTAATTAAGACAGTAGTGTCCTTAATACATCTTATATACAAAGTCAATTGAAAGCTTTTCTAATTATATAATATCTTAGTTTGATTGCATTTTTTATTTTATGATTCAGAGCAGATTTTCAGTTAATGAGTAACTGCTTAAAAAAAAAAATTGATGATTTACATTCTCCAAGGAGTCTTGAGAAACCTTGGATCTGTGCCCAAAGAGTTATGCCTCAACTGCTGATGGTGGTGCAGCATTTTTTATGGTTGTACAGGTCCATACAGAAGTGACAGTCTCGACTGCAATGAATGCATATGAAGATGCTTTGTTTTCTTTCCATTGAGCATGCTTTTCCCCAGTGGCAAGCCTTCATTTCTTCTCTCTTCACTCCAGACCTCAGTGTAAATCACGTCTCCAGCATGAGTGATTGTTGGCAATGTCTTCCCACCTTTTGATGTCCATTGCTGCCATGTCCCTTTTGCAGATGTCCTTGAAGCAACGATGTGGCTGCTATTGCACTCTCTTGTCAGTGTCCCGTTCCCTGTACAGAAGGACCTTTGGAATTCTCCCATCCAGCATACGGTATGCATGTCCAAGCCAGAAGAGCTGGCCCTGTTGGAGAAGGGGATATAGGTTGGGTAACAGGGCACAGGTGAGAACTACAGCATTAATGACCTAGTCAAATTAATTGGTGCCCAGAATCACCTCAGTGAAAATGAAAGCTACTGAGGGGTCCCTCCTGTCTGGAGTATAGGCTCCAAATGTTGCTGCCAAGTACTAGGTAACAGATAATAGCAGTAGCTAAAGAATATGATAATTTCATTACCTCTAAGGGGGTCACATGGTAACAGACTCACAGAAATTACAGCTAAACACATGTATGTATATATGGCTAATAAATGTATATTTTTATGGAATATTAAAAACCCTATTATTAATGCTACCATGCTAATACTAAGTAGCAATGCCTCCAAACCTGGGAACACACATACTGGTCCCTTTCGTGACTATTACAATTATCCCATGGGACAATCCTGAGTTTAGAACTTGGAGTAATTGAAAAGAATCTAATGAAAACCAGTGGATAGGACAGAAATATTGTGATAATAATAAAAATGAGGACAATAGTCGGAGTGTAAATAATAACATCTCATCCCAGAAATCAAGGTAGAAATTACAGATGTTTGTTATTTTACAAATTTAAAAAAAAGTAAAACAGAAGATCTACATAACAGATTCACCTTTCCAGTGTGTAACTGTATATATTAGTGAAAAATTGTCTCTCATGAAAAGAATCAAAAATTATTTTTCTAAGAAAAACGGAATATGTTTTCTCTGCAATATGTTCTCACACACCTTTTCAGATTAATTCAGCAGAGAGAAAGCACTACATGATTTATAATTATGTTTCTTGCCAGTGTGTTTATTTAATGGCATAAATCATTATGAAAAATCATTCAATTAGTGTATGTTTAATGGCAAATCAATGAATAGTAAAGCTTATAAGAGCTTTAATATTCATTTTTTATTACAAAAATGT